ATATACTCTTATCAAATGCACAGATAGGTAGTCAGTCTGTCATCTTCTTGTGAGTCACTTGTCTGTTTATTGAGCATGGTTCAGTGGATTTATACACATTGTGAAAGATTGCAGGTTCAAATCCAGTGGTTTGCGAGATTTTTAAATATAACTGCAAATGGGTCCCTTATTTTGTATTTTTTCCCCAAGCGTTGCTAATACCCCCTTTCTAACTCTTGCCCAAGATTAATATATCTCTTCTTTTACAATGCATTGACCCAGCAATTAATGAATAATGATGAGCATAGAAACTGTGAATAAATATGCATATTTATTTTTGAATTTGCATAAAGTGTAGGCACTCTAAATCGCCTTTACGCTCCCAGTGTAACGCTTGCATTGAGTGTTTTTCATGCTGGTATTCAGTGCTCGCTCTCTGGTTATTTTAAGCTGTGTCCCAGTTATGAAGCATCGGTGAACATTATTAATTTCACTCAGCTACGTAAATTTCAAAAATGATTACCTGTTCTGTATTCTATATACGCATGGCCCCAAAAGACTGTGGGTGTTATAGATGCATATCAATAACACCCACAGTCGTTTGGGGCCATGCAATCTGCCAATGCATATCGAAAAAAAATACGGCAATTACTAATCTACATAGAAAGACAAAGAGTAAGTATGATGTTACTGGAATGAACACACGGCCAGGAAATAGGTCACGTGACCAAGTACAATACAAAACTGTAACTCCGACTTGGTATCTCATCATAATATCATACAATACATTTCGTTTTCCAAATATTCTAGTGTGTTAGTAAATTTACACTAACTTAATTGTGGGCTGCATGCTTGCTTTTGATTAAGGTTTGATATATGATTTTGTAACAGAAACAATGCGAAGAGTTTTTACGTCAGTTGAAGTGCCTCGATGAATCGGACATGGACGTAGAAGACTGGGCGAACTACATTATATTGAAACACGAACTCAACATGTTCCTGTCGGGAATTGAATTTAAGGGGCAAGTCTGTCACTGTTTCAACCAGATCTGTATAATATTCGTCGACCATACGCGTGTTATTATTTCTGGTTTGGATTAACATCGTAGCTATGTAGCTATGTATACTCTATTTTCGCCACACTTACTCTAATGTGGCCATATTAATATAGCCATATAACCTCTAATGTCGTCATATAAACACTAATTATGTCATATATAATTTAATATAGCTTAATGTACTCCAATGTCGCCATATATGCTTCTATGTACTTTATATGTGTTTAATTACATTTCATCAATTCATAAATTTCATAAATAACAAATAATTCACAAAGTTGTCATTTTATAATGACGTTGTTCATTTCAAGGACTATGTATTCTGTATTCAATTTTCCAGTTATCTGCTGTGCTTCAATTCGCTAGAAGATGGTCGTTCCCATTTTGCCCGAGTCATCAGTCGGATGACATTTGAAAACGAAAGTGATTATAATAAGTTACTGTCAAGATATGAAACGTTCCCTGAGCAGGTATTTTTTTTTAATCCGATAATCTGATTCAATGTGTGCATCCCTGTTTTTACTATAACAACATTCATTTTGATGAATGAATTTGTCGAAGCAGGGTATAACAAAACGTCGCACGTTATATAACACGTTTTCAACGGGAAATGAGTCACCAATGAGTGTACAACTAAAATGTTGTAAGCAAAGAGTGATATAGCTAGACAGCGTTCTGCACGGACGAACCAGGACAGTTTGATAAATAATTGCATTATGATGAGCACATTGACCCTCTGCTTCATATTCGTAGTAAACTATATAAGCTAAGCTTATCCCGGAAAGGCAAGATGTCGTTTCTGTAAAATCTTGAAACATTACGAATGTCCACACATAAAAGTTGATCCTGTGTAAA